TCTATTAATTCTCTTATTTTTCTATTTTTAATTTTATACTTTGATCGTATTAATTAATTAATAATATGTAAAATAAAAGACATTTAAAGGGGAAAAATAACATTTATAATGTTATCAATCATTAAGGGACTGTTTACCAAAGTCTTACATGGGTAAACATTTACCAAGTCACATTGCCTTATCGGATAAATATAGTAAGAATCAAGAATCTTACCCGGTAAGAACGAGACAAAGACCAAGCGTCTTACCCGATAAGTGAGGACGACGACTCTCACCCGGTAAGATTGTAACAAAACACAATCTTCGTTTATTATGTATCTGAAATTTAATAAACATGGTTTCTTGGTTTGAAATCTTAGCATTTATTTGTAACAAAATACAACATTTGTTTATTATATCTAAAATTTAATAAAAATATTTATTTTAAATAAATGATGAAATCAATAGAAAGTGAAGAAAGAAAAACTGAGATGAGAACAGTATTTAAGTATGTTAATAAAATAATGATATAAATAAAAAAGTAAGAGATTTAAAATAAATTAAATAAATAATTGTAAGGGTTTAAGTGTAATTAATAAAAATAATTTGTAGAAAATTATGTATTTATGATATTTAATAACTAGTTGTATATTAATACAATGACATAAGATGTAATGTATCTCATTAGTTGTTTACTTCAATTATTGATTAATCAAAAAGTAATCCATTTTTTTATTAACCTGAATATCCAACCCGCTATGCAAGCCGACTAATCTCAGAACGACCACCTACTTTGCAGATAGTCCGGTGTCACTGCATTTGAACCTCCGTGCCATAAGGGAATTTTTATTTCTCATTGGATTTGAACGTGAGACCTCCTGGTACTTTTGAGTTTTGAAGCCAAGCTCAAACCAATCAGGCACCACCCTTGTGGTTAAGTGATTCATTCTTACGTTTCTCACCAAAAACCAACATAAAATATAATGTAGAAAAATAAATAGGTTTTGAATCTTTAGCACAATTAATATATTCATAAGTAACCATTTCAAAGAAATCAAATATTGTATAAGCTCTATATAACCATATGAAAAGGATCAATTGTGAAGGACTATGCATTAATAAAATCCGAGTTTTCACGAGAATTGGAAAGGTAATTGTACGTTAGTAATTATGGGATGTGAAGGACTATGCATTAATAGAGTTGTACCTCTAATTGTTAAAGTTGTAATTATGAGATTTAAGACTCGTTTCACCTATTTTGGTGGAACGAGATGGGACAAGAATGAGATAGAAACCAAAATATTATTAATCAACACTTGTTTGATATATATTTTCGAAAAAAACATGTTTGATATATAACATTAATATGATTTTTGTTTTAGTGGTCAGCACCGCTAGTCACGGTCGTCGCCACCATTGATAGCCTCCATCGACCACCAATAGTCACTGTCGGCCACCTCCACCTCCTCTTCCACTACAACAATCTCCTCCATCATCGTCGACCATCGTCCATTGTCACCACCACAACCACCACCGACCACCAGCCTCTATCATCACCACCGCTACTACCGTTGGCCACCTCCACCTCC